TAATAATTCAAAAACTCAAAAAAAAAACAAAATTTTATAAAAAAATAAAAATTAATGTATCATATTTGAAATTGTTCAAAAGCTTAGGGGGCGGCTGCCGCCCCCTTTGTCCTACATTGGGTCCATCCCTGTTTGGAGGGGCAGAGCTTGGGAAACAAGTGGGGATGCCTTCACTTTCAGTTTTGATTGCTCAGCTTTCTTTCTCCTTCTCCTCCTCCTTTCTCTCTCCTCTCCTTCTCTTTCTCCTCCTCTCAAGAATCCGCCTGGGTTCTACAGAACCCAGATCGGGTTCCCTTAGAGGGAACTAGGTGAAGGGGAAGGAACCTTTTTTTTTTTTTCTTATTTGAAAGAAATATATGATATTATTGTAGATTAGCATGACAATTTGTGGATGTTTAATAAGAGATTTATCAATGGAAAAAAAAAAAAAAAGGATTTGATATAGACTAAATTTTTGGCAGTGGGTTGAGGGGAGAAGAAAGAAACTCAGGTTGAAATTTTGAATGGGTGCGAAGAAGATGGGGCAATTCTTGTAATTTCAAAAATTAATATTTTAAATTTATTTTTATTTCTTCACAATCGAACATGACAGCTACAGGGAAAAAAATTATTGACATGTAACGTGTGATGTCAATTTTGGATGGAGTAGTTGAGCGGTGTAAAGTTATAACTTTATAGTATAAGAAAATTTAAGGTCAAACATATAAGGTCCGGCTGCTAATTAGGGATTTTGCCCAGGGAAAAATATTCAAATCTATCTCAAAGTATAATAGAAGAAATGGATCTATTTTTGTATAAAAAATAAAGATAAATTTAGTTATAAAATTTTTTATTTAAATAAATTATCTCAAATTTAATATATGATATTATTTGACGTCAATAATATTTTAATTTATTATATCATTAATAAATTTATTATTAATAAATTATTGATATCAAATAATATCATAATTAAATTTATAGTGATTTATCTAAATTAAAAATTTTATAAATAAATTTATCTTTATTTTTTATTTTAAATAACCTTATTCCTATCACTATACTTTTTGGGAGTAAATTTGGATATTCTCCCTTTTGCCCAGCCCAGGACAAGGAGATCAAAATTTGCTTCAAAGGCAACATCCTTTGCAAGGGATATGTAGTTCTTACCGAGAGTATCATACAGAGGTACGCAAACCAAACCATGGGCATTGCAGGCCTAGAAAATTTAAAAACACCCTCGTCATTTATGCATTGGAAAACAATAAAACTCAAAGTTTTGCTAGGATTGCCTATATTAAGTGTCAGAACATACCTCCATTGCTAGAATCCACTGGGGGCAGTTGGCTCCATAAATACCAATCCGGCAACCCTGTCATCAGAAAATTATTAAAATAGCAACGGATAAAGGCTTAGAGAGAGAGAGAGAGAGAGACAGAATTGCTTAAGCTGCCTAACTTTATGCTTACAGGTTCAGCTCCAGATGCTCTTAATGCAGAACCAATCAGTAGAACCTCATCATAAACTTCTTTATACGTTTTCCAGACATAAGGCCCTACCTGAAGGCAGCCAAAACAAAATCAAAAAGAAAAACGAGGTGAGGAATGCATTCCCCTATATACCAGAAGATGTTTTCTAAAGTAAAATTACCTTGCCATCAACAAATGTGCGCCATCCAAGCATCTTGTTTCTGGGATGCTTCTTAACAGAGAAACTGCAAATTAAGATCAGTTTTGTCATCAAATGAAAAGAATGTGTGAAGAAATGCTTGCTTCTTAGACAAGTAAGAACCAGGATTAGGCCAATGCTTGCTCACAGTGAGCTTCATCATAAATGTGTAATTCAAATAAACTATCACAGCAAAATCATCATAATATACAATAAAACCTTCATTTACATATGATTATTTCTTCTCTACCTCTAGTGTTATGTTTAGTTTCAACCTCTACACTGAAGTAGTTTGCTTAAAGGTGTTAAATGGACAGAATTATAGCTTTCACTTTAAACCTCTTAAGTTTCTAGCATTAATATACTAGTAGTTCTACCAATACATGATCAAATCTAAAAGAAAAAAAGCATGGTATTCGCAAATACCTGAAAATATCCCAGGTTGTAGCCATTTCAGGATCAGGTGGAGGAAACTCATTTTTGGAAAGAAGGTTGCGGTATACAGGACCAACCGACGGCTTCCCATCTTGTCCTTCTCTTGCTTCCTCGACCTGAACAGCAAAATCTTTCATCTTCCCCATCTACTATACAATATCTGAAGGGAAATCCAAGATTTAGTTCAACAATCACTGTAAATTGCACGAGAGGTTAACACAAAGGTACAGAGAAAGTCATAACTGAGCCATTAATCCAAAGTGGATAAGGATGACTACCTACATATAGGGAAAATATGGTCTTGGTAGTACAAGCAGTCGAAAACTTAAATATTTTGATAAAATAAAATAAAATAATATATTTTATAAATTAAATTTATTATTCTATTAATGATTTAGTTAAATTAATAGTTATAAATTATTGTTTTATTTAAAAACACATTATTTCATAATAATGGTTTAATTTATTTTTATTATTAACTTATAAAATGAGATCTACATGATTATGAATCTTATAAATAAAATATTTTTTTTTTTTGCTTAATGAAATTAAATTCCTCCACATTCTTCTACTTTCTTATCTTAATTTATTTTAAAAATATTCTTGGATAGAAAAATATGTTTTGAATTAAGTGACTCTATTAATGGTATAGATTTATAAAATGTTATTATAAGATTATAACATTTTAGGAGTGACATTATGCTATGTATATCTTTACTATACCAGTTAATTTACTTTCCGTACAAATGTAAATTGCCTCAAAGTAATTAAAATTTTTACACCTATTTTGATTTTTATTTTTTTGATAAGTTTATTAATTATTATTTTTATTTAATTTTATAATTCAAACACAACAATAATATGATATAGAGCTGGAAAAGAATGCTCGAAGCACAACGCACACATGCCATAAAAATTCAACTAATTCGCATAAATGAAAATTTTTGCAGCACAACAAATTCGTTAAATAGCAATAATTAGGAAGTCATGAATGAGATGCCATCTCTGATAGGTATACTTAAAGTGGGGGAAATGGTGATAGCCACATCTCACCTGATTACAGAAATCTAAGGACTGAAAGATATCAACTCTAAAGCCAAAGTGAACGTTAACAAACAAAATTACCTATTTATACAAGCAGACATCAAAATTAAAAGTCCACAGAATGAAAAGGAACCCAGGAGATGCATACTTTACATTAATCAATACGATAGTATATAGCAAGAAATAGAAAAAAGGCATAAGAAATGCCGTGGATGCAGATTAAAACCCACAACACCCAGAATCTGCTGCCCACAGCAAAACCAGCATACCAAAGAAAAACATAACTTTGATTAACAAATTAAATTCACAAAACCCATTACCAGACCTACAAACTAATTAAACAAAAATATAAAGAGCAAACAGATTTAAGGACATACAGATTGGATTAAACAAAAGCAGATGATGTTGGGAATGGTGGCATGAATTTAAGGGCCAGATAAGACGACCCATTGCGTTTCATTTTCGGGCAACGAGACTTTCCATCCATGAAAGCTGCTGGTTTAATGAGTTAGTTGAGACAGGCGTATTGTGTGTTGGTTCTTCATTGACGGTAGAATTGAATAGCTTTCTCGAATCTCTAACTTTCTCCTCGTCTTTATAATTGGCTAAATGAGTCAAGGTCCGCCAAATGAAAGGTTGTCAGCCATGCATTGCATTTGCATCATAACAGAAGCATCCCCGTAGCCGTGGACTACTGGCTTCTTACTTGAGTGCAACGCAACATCCCAATACGCTACTGGCTCCTTCACTTCTGTCATTCGGGGCAGTGAATGTTCGGTACCCTTACTGCACTTCAAGTCTTCCCGTTTAACCATTGAGTCAGGCAAGATCGAGTGAACATTTTGTAGCGGTGGGCTAAAAAACTTCATGACGGAAAATAATTTAAAAATTGACAAAATTGTAATTGATAGGCAGGGTTTAATTAGATTTTAAGTTTATTTGATTAAAAATTAAATTAAATTAATTTTAAATGGTTAGAGTTTTTTTATTAAATTTAAAAACTAAAAAATTGATAATTAGGGTAAATATAAAGTAAAAATCTAACTTAAAAACTTTTTATATATTTTTTAAATAATTTTTAGATTTTTTAAAGTTTTTTAGTCACTTTTTACTAAATTATTTATTTAATTGAATAAATTTTAGTTTTTTTAGTGATAGATTTTTAGATTTTTTAAAGTTTTTTAGTCACTTTTTACTAAATTATTTATTTAATTGAATAAATTTTAGTTTTTTTAGTGATAGAAATTA